AGGCATTAGAGGCTGGTAGTGAGTCTTCCATGATCGTATCAATGACGAAGTTAAAGAGGAAAGGTGAAAGAGGACAACCCTGTCGGATACCACTTGATGTGGTGAACTCAGGAAAAGGCTTCCCGTAGACCTTTACACGGCCGCGGGAGTTGACGATTCTCCCTAATCATTTTACTCTACTACGTGTCACTTGTGGAACGATGAACCTGTCCCGATTTTCAAGGAGTTGCATGAGACCTTGGTACGAGCAGCGTCGTCAGTACTACTTGGGATTTCGCTCAGTGGTGCACCACAATCAAGGCGAATCTGCGAGGAGCGGGTAGCTTTGGGCAACACGGGCACCATCCGAATTGTTAGTTCCGGAATCTGAGTTGGATGCACTTGGAGTATATCGCCATACTGTATGTTGAAAATCACCGACAGTTCATCCAGTCCATTGAAGCGGCGTGAGGCAGATGTCTCAAGAAAACACTTACCGGTGAGAGCTGAGGATTGAAGGTAGCTAGACTTCGTATATACGTAACACATTAATTAACAAGGTTACTGAAAACTCTTCGACAACCCATAGCCGGTTTCGCCCTTCTTGGGTTCATCATGTAGGCGTAGTCCCCGAGTTTTCGTCAACCTCATGTTATACTTGAGACCCAATAAGTGCACGGAATCCGACTTATACACTCATCTGCATACCGATTTGGTTTTGACGGGAGACTCATCTGAAATCCAGCTGAATCTCTCGTTTATAATGTTTCTAAGCGATGGGATGTACTGTACCAGGCCGCTTCACGTTTCAGTTGGTACGATATTCGAGATATTCCGATACATTGTATAGACGTAATAACTCTTCGACAGTCCACAATCGACTTCGCCATATTGGGGCTCATCAGGTAGGCGCCGTCCCCGAGTTCTCCTAAGCTCCTTATAAGTAAATGACCCGGAATCTCGCGACATCCCAACTAAAATAAACCGGTTTACTGTGCACAGCTTCCATCCGTGTAGGCAGTGCTACCTTGTTGGACAGCTGAGCAAGTATGTGAATGGCACTGAGCCAAGACCCATATTCTAACAGTCTTGTCAATGCAATTGTGAACGCTATACTAAGTTGTGGAGAAATTTAAGCTTTTGACCACAGGATTTTCAACACCGTTGTTGGTGTGGAGTTCCTCAATTTCGTGAAAATCTGACACTTGATTTTTTGAGTAACGGTCTGTCCGACGTCCAGCCACCAAACCCACCTACTGCATAAGCTATTATCTCACTGTGTGTAGTAATTCGTGTGAACAGAATGTTAAAAGAAAAGAGCATATTAGGTCTCTCCTGAGAGCTGTCCATCGCCAGAGAGATCACGCCTGACAGAAACGAAGGGAAGTGCTCTCACTATGGAGGATTCAGTAAATAAGCTGGTTTGATTTTCCACTTGGTCGTTTTGATTTCACGATCTAAACAGCACATACATAATATGAGCGGGCACTGATGTTTGTGTACGGAGCTAAACGGGCAATGCGTAAAGACGTTTGACGGTCACTGCGGTAAACCAAAACTATCTCTCGATTCAGCACAGCCCAAATGGATACCACGAAAACGTAAGTAGGTTTATCACTAACTTTTGCACTGAACTTTCTTATATTTGTGGAATATTTATAGCTTTCTGCCTTCCACTCCAAAATTGAACTACAGATCTACAGACCATCAAACGACAATGAACAGGTTTTCGTGCACTGCAAAACCCAAAGATCTGAGTAGCCTGTACAGTGGTGAAGATGGAAGCCAACTGGACGATACAGAACCCCGATTTGTGAGAAGGACCAAGGATCCAATCGGTTGCTTTGGCGTTGCGTACACGATCAGGAAAGGTAAAGAGCGATCAGTGAGAATGGGATCGAAGAAAAACTTTACGTCGAACGCTGGTGTGCCCACCTGCGAGGACCCCCGCGTACTTCAATGGGTACTGTCAAATCGAGGGAAAAGGTGGACTGTAGATAGTGGCAAATCTCTTCATCCCTATCTATTGTGGCGAAGTATCAACCCAAACGACAATAGGCCTGAAGAAAACCTTAATACCCGGATGGTGTTACAACGAGCAAAGTCTGTTGATGGTCTGACAACTATAGCGAATGATCAGCTTTACGATACCCCAAAAGCAAAGAGGGGGAATGGGTCGATGGAATCATCAACAAATACCCTGTCAAACGACATGTTATATGAAAAAATAGAGTTCTCCTCACGTTGCCCCTCACAAACAACTTCCTTATCGTCGGCATTTCTGGGAAACCACACAGATGTCACAAGAAATAACAACCGGCCGTGGGTTAATAATGCCGACCAGCGAAGATCCAGAACGCAGGAATTTGGCGTATCCGACCATCGTGCTACCCAGAGATCGACGCAGCTTCGTATACAAACAATGGTATTGCCGGGGTGGAAGCAGAGAATCAACGAAAATCAACCAGCCATGGATATGAACGACTATGAAGCAGTATGCAACAGTCTCACAACACCGACTGAAGCCGCTAGAAGTGCAAATATGACTTCCAGCACCAGTACAATCACAACGACCAGTTCAGAATCGCAAACACGGAAGGGCAAACGGTTTATATCAACAGCAACAATCTATTTATCCGGTAGGCTGAAAGATTATGCTCAAGGGGAGTCTTCGGGTCCAAAAACCATAGGTATTCTGAACCAGCCGAGCAATTCTCCCAGAATAAGAGCTAAAGCATGTGATTTACAGAGCAGAACGCAGAATATGAAAGTTGAAACTATCACAACTAAAAGAACAGCGTTTGAATCATCGTTGGTGAGCAACAATAACCTCTATGATAGAAGCGACAGTGGATCACGTTCAGCAAGCGAAACAGAGGCACAGACGTTTGCTAATTTCCCACTACATGATGAGTTTCTGGGACTCTCACTTATACAGTCCAGTTGTCCAACGATTGACACAGAGGATGATCACGTGACATCCGTTTCACAGAAAATACCCGAAATGGAGTGGGACTCCACATTTGAGGGTGCATGTGGTGCAGTCGGGTCACCGGTATGGGCGCACATAACGTCCGAGAGCGAACAAAATGTTACTGGGCGGAGTTTTCCAAAAAACGATGCACGAAACAACGATCAAATGGGGCCAGTACGCTCCAAGCAGTGGTGCAACCTGCGGTCCACACCACTTGTAAAACCACTAACAAAGGAGAATCTTGGAATGCACAATGCGAATTGGGCAGGTTAATTTTCAATGATAAGGTATACATATGCACTGGTCTTACACTTACCGGTATTATATATTGTGAATATTTACTCCGCAGTGTTTTGCCTTTCTCCGGGTTCTCGGAACAAAAGTTCGGATCTGACAGATGAAGAAGCAAGTCACGCTTCAGATGCATTCCCAACCGGCTGTTCAACTGTTCCGCGGGAGTCTGTAGGGCCAGATAATGGGTGCTGGGGTTAGAATACACATTCAACGAACCGAGAGAATATATGCGTCCAGACAACCAGCCTTTTCGATCGCACGAAGTGCAGTTTCGGATACGATGATCACCATCCATCGATCGAGAATATCACTATAAAACACCTGTTGTGATAGTTTGGGTGGGTACATTTTCGGGTAGCTGGTTTATCGTTGGAGTAAATGAACATGAAGGCGTCAAAGAGGACTTACAGCGGATGCCTAAAACTTTTTCGCGCATAGCCAGACACGATGCCTTCACCATGCCATAGGCATTTTTGTGATTCCGGAGGATAAATAATGGTGGGCGGTACGTCAAAGTGTGAGCCTGGGATTCTGAAAAAACGCGTGTCAATTAAGGTGGGAGTTGACACAATTACAGATTCTGTGTTCTGGGAGTTCGACCCAAAAGGCTTTCTGACGGTTGTAAATAGTTGGGCCTCTTTGGCTGCTGGGCTTTCAAATACTGTTCTTTATAATGGGTGGGTAACCGACTGATGACATCTTTCAAATGTGGATTGAAAAACAGACGTGACATTTGAAAACAACAGGATTGGTGGCTTGGACACGAAGGATCATGGATAACAACCCTGCACTTTATGACAATGGTGCGGATGCCTGAAACGGAGATACGGAAAGAATAAAACGTATGGGCCAATCGTGCGCAAAAACCGATAAAAACGAATAAGCATATCAGCACATTACTATTCCAAAAACGCCCCGTGCAACAACCCTCCAAGAGTATTCAGCCACAGGAGGCGCATGGCCTCATTGCGTTTTGAATCAATATGGTGTTTAACCATCATATGTGCTAGGCTGGTAGGATGGAAGTTTGGTAGAGTGAAATAAAGCAAATGTGGATTGAAAAACAGACGTGACATTTGAAAACAACAGGATTGGTAGCTTGGACACGAAGGATCATGGATAACAACCCTGCACTTTATGACAATGGTGCGGATGCCTGAAACGGAGATACGGAAAGAATAAAACGTATGGGCCAATCGTGCGCAAAAACCGATAAAAACGAATAAGCATATCAGCACATTACTATTCCAAAAACGCCCCGTGCAACAACCCTCCAAGAGTATTCAGCCACAGGAGGCGCATGGCCTCATTGCGTTTTGAATCAATATGGTGTTTAACCATCATATGTGCTAGGCTGGTAGGATGGAAGTTTGGTAGAGTGAAAAAAAGGCAGAAGTACAAGGATGAAGCAACTGCTTAAGAAGCAAGGTTAGAGCAGTATAATCTGGTGTACTATGTGGCTAGTTCGGTGTACGTCACTGGCGCTGACAAGGGGAATATCTTATATATATATATATACATATAGGGTTAAGGTCGGCCCGATTGTGCCCACTGTTGCGTTATTTGTATTTCACTTCTGGGTCATGCATTAGTCCAGCCTCAAAAACACATTCTATCGTGATCGGCGGAAAGTAATCATCCCAGGGAGAGGTAGAAACAGTAGAAGTGGCCGCAACTCAACGCTCATTTGTATACAAGGCGTAAAACCCACGTTTATTCATTACTTCAGTAACACGGTGTGGAAGAAAGGCCAAACTCATCGGAAGTATCTGTCCATCGTTGCTATTAGCGAAACGATAACTCATTTGAAGAGTCGAATTCGCAAAAGAGTGGTCACTTTAGAAAGTTTTACTAAACAGAGGAACAACAAAGTGAGAATACCAGCCCGCGTGTGCGTCAAAGCTAGTTTCTGTCAGTTTATTGCGGCTGTAGGCCGAACAAGATGTCTAGTAATCAGGGTAGTGGGTGTGTTAAACACTGGATAAAAGAATCTCGAATAATAGCATTCACCTCACTTTATCAGCTACGAACCGTGTACCATAGGCATATTGGTTCCAGATGCTACAGTTTCGAACACCGGAAAGTTGCAAAGTGTGGGGCATACAGCCAAGCTTTGCAGGCGATGGCATGTTCAATTAGTTCGGAAATTAAGTAGACACGCATCGAAAGCGATAGCCTTAAGAGTTGAGATGACCGTTCAGCTATAGCCCTCTTTCGGTGACTAGCTGCCATGCCACCCGAAGGAAGCACGAGGGCTGGGATACTGCCAGGTCGCCCAAGCCTAGACAGGGGAAGTTGAGAGGTGGAGGTGGGATTCGACACGCGAACCTTCCGGCCAGTAAATTCGCGCTCTTACCACTTGGTCCACCTCGCCCGTGATGCATGAGCACCACAGAGTGCGCGACTAGGCCATTTCTGCTAGTGTCAATTAACCATTAGGGAGTTGAGTTCCGTGGTCCATATCCAGGGAGGCGGCAGTTTTCGACCCGGCTAAACCTCCTGGTTAGCGTTTTCATACTTTGCTGTCACACACACTGTCCGCCGGTCGGTTGCTTCCAGCCAGCACAAGGCTGGGCGAAGAGCTCTGCGAGGCAAAAGGGATGCGGAGTACATGTCCTGACAATCGTAAGCTATGGGTAATTCACCAACCGCGGGAGAGTTCCTTCTTTCTAGGACCATCCGGCGTACGTAAGCAATACTAATCCGATGTTTCCACTAGACCCAACAGATGCTGCGGAGACAGTGACGGTCAAACACTGACATCTTTCGTATGTCCTCTGTGCGTAGAGGCTACGTCTCTGGTCCACAAAGACTCAGGGACCACAATGTCACAGTGCGACCTCTGCATTACTTAACTTGCACATGATAGTCATATTAGAGGGAGGATGCGTGGTCTCGAATGCATCTCCATAACTGTAAGAGAACCTGGAAGATATGAACCGAACCAGCTGGTGCACCGTATGGTCCTAGGTGTCTGGTTTCCACGACGGAAAGCAGTTCTGCACGTTACACACATTTGAGTGATCCCCCCAAGTGAAAAACAAGCAGACAAACTAAGCAATGCCGAGAAGGTTACGGACGATTCGTTTTTAGTTGGCATTCTTCGGCTTTGAGCATCATCGTGCGGGTTCTTGGAGTTGATTGGAAACCTAAAGAATTGTAGTAACAAACAGTATAAGGATACTCGGACCCGGGTGTGATACATGGTTGAGTTCATTCCACTGACTTTCACACCTGACCCGGTATGACAGACACCTTGTGCCCGAAGCACGAGTCTTGACTGTGCCAGTGCTTACTGCGCCTTGAAGGGCATCCCACATTACCCATCCTTCCTTGAGTTACTTGTCTTTACACATGGGTTTCCACACCAGACATTCTTATGTTGGGAATAATCTTGTCTGACCTAAACTATTAGTGGCACGCCTTTGAATAACACGTTTTATCTGATATTCTCCCGTACACACTTCCACATTCACCGCTCGGATTTACTGTTAGTGTTTATGGCCATCCTCTTCAAAAATTAACCATAGCAAGTAGAAGAAAAATCCTGAGTGCAGAATATTTACTCCAACTTTAAGCAAAGCCTATACCAGAGACTCAATTGAATATGAGTCAGACAAATCAATGTGAAATACACTGCAGAACTGTTTGATCGCGAAACGTCAACAGCACGGACTCACAAATAGAATCGAATCCACCTGGTTTGCGAACACATTCAATTACCTACAGTTTGGTTACGAGCAACCTAGATTACCCAGCTTATGTCAAGCAATAATTCAATTATTCAAATCTAGCGCATTCCACAAGTTTGATTGTCCGAAGCTTCGATCACCCAAGATGATATTGTGCTTAGCTGAAGTTAAAAACGAGTAACCTGTAGTGGCCGAGGGCTGATGAGAACAGCTATTGCACGCTGTTTGTGCTCTACCAGCGCTCAAATTTCTCGGTATGCACAGAAACGTATTTGTGCTAGCCTCCAACCTAAGTATGCCACCACACCCTCCTGTGAATCGACGTCAGCTAGGTTATTTTACTAATATTTTTGACTACTCATGAGTAGCGTGATTTACAACTTATGACACCGTTTTGCTCCCCCGTTGCTCATTTCCTGAGATTTTACTCCCGTTTAAGGTCTTCTAAACCCCTAGTTCCTAATGTCAGAATTTATTGTCCATCCGTATTTGCTCGCAGTTTATTGTCAACTCTACTTATTTTCGAGCGTCTGCTTCGACGGGAAAGCAGGTCGACCTGGGATGGAACTCTGAACCCCTTGAACAATGGTGAACGATTGCTTCACCTGTGTGCTCATCCGAAATAGACGAAGTCGTCTGGCCACATGGTATCCTCCAACGGCATGCTGGCCACAAACTCAAACTGATCACATCGCCACCAGTTACCGATGGCGCAGATCAACAACTGACTGTCGACCGTACTGGATCGTAGATTCTGACCATCCACTGTTCCGGAGTCGTTTCCTCCTTAGTATTCCAGGGTGGTGTAAGGTGCGAAAAAATCGCCTGGAAACTGAAAGGCTGGCAGATACGGAGGTTAAACGAGCTTACCAGAATCGCCTTCTAGAGTCTCTTCCAAATGCTCCACCATCAGATGGGAACTCATACTGGGGCGAGATTGCCACCTCTTTGAATGGTGCTGGGTATCTTGCATGTAGCATGGCACTACCAGCATCAAGCACGTGATATCGGACCGAATTGTAGCACTGCTTAACTCTCAGAAAAATATCCCAGCAAGTCCTGGACATAACTCGATGCGACGAATTATCAGACGTCAAATGAAAGTGAGCGTGCGAGCCGATCGTCAAGTGTAGTGGACACAGAAAGCTAAGTAAACGGAAGTGGCCCAGAAAGCCAGGAATTCCCGGAGATTGTTTCAGTGGAGACGTGCGACCGGCCCCCGGAAACCACCTGTGAACGAAACCATTAAGGACCAGAACAGAGGAACTATCCTGAATAAAGGACGCCTCAAACAATTGTCATGGCCAAAAGCTGCCACTCATCTGAAGCCCACAGTTGACGTAGAACCCTGGACGGTGAACTTGCAACCACCTACGGCCTTGGAGGTTTACGACTGAATATGTCCTCTCAAGCGCCACCGAGTTTCTAGTCCGGATGACCGTCCAACCGCATTGTTCATAGATGGGGGTGAAATCATCAGTCAGCACTTTTCTGGTATGTCTGCTTGCATGTGGGAAAAGGAGTCTGCCCAGACAACTGGGGAGAGTCGGTAAAAGGGCCCACTTTCAAAAATCGGGCTCGCAATGAGTGTACTAGCCACAGAATGATTAGCTTCACTCCGGTTGTAACGAGACTGCTGGCGCACTGGTGATTCATCACTTTACGGTGGCTCGTGAAACAGTGACTGGAGAGCAACAAGCAGAATTCCGGCCTGGTAGAGGTTGAATCGACCAAATCTTCACACTCCGTAAGTACTAGAACAACACCATACGTATAAGCGACCCAGAATTCTAGTCTTCCTGGATTTTCAAGGAGCATTTGACTCGCATTCGGTATGTTCTTTACACGCCTGCCGACCAAGGAATGATCCGGAGCTTCATGAACATGATAAGCCCTTTGTATTCTCAGACTTCCGGACATGAGTGTGAGGCAAGCTCTCCAAAAGCTTCCGTACACACAACGATGTTCGTCAGGGATTGACACTCTTTCCATCCCTTTTTAACTTCCGTACCGTTCAGCTGAAACACCCTTCCGGTGCGTAACTGCCATTCCACTCGAAGGCTGCATGAGGGCTGGGATACTGCCAGGTCGCCCAAGCCTAGACAGGGGAAGTCGAGAGGCAGAGGTCGTGTTCGAACCACGGACCTTCCGGTCAGTAAATTAGCGCTCTAACAAATTGGGCCCTCTGCAAAACCCCGGCGTTCAAATAGCCTGTAACGGAAACCTTATCGATTTTAAATATGCAGACAACATCGTGCTCGTCTTCGACGGGGAGAAAGCGCAGGTGTTTTTGGACGAATTGACCAAAGTCATCCCGTCCTTTGGTATTCACTTCGCACCCACATGCGTAAGGTCATGTTTTTGGACACGCAGTCATTGAACACCCCATTTACAACCCAGGGAGAGGTACTGGAAGTTGTGGAGTGTTTTGCGTATATTGGAAGTTGTATTAGTTCTGAGTATAGTGTGACAGATGAAATCAATGCAAAAGTCTGCAAGGCTCGGGTCACATTTGCTTATTTGAAACACCTATGGCGTCAAAGTGGTGTATTCCTGAATCCGAAGGGACGTGTGTGTCAAGCTACAGTGCGGGCTTTGTTGTACGACTGTGAGACGTGACTCGTTCGAACAGCGGAACTGAGACGTCTTCAGGCGTTCAACAATCTCTGTCTTAGAACCATAGCTCGTGTAGGTTGATGTCAACCAATCCGTAACGGGGCAGTTAGAGAGCTTCCAGTTGTGTAAAGGAGAATTCCATCGAAGAATGTGCCCAGCACCTGCATATGCGTTATTTAGATTATGTATTGCGTGTGCCAAACCATCGCTTGCCGAATAGATTGTTTTCCGTACCAACTTCAAGGCGGCGGGAGCAGAGACGTGGCCAATCGTTGACCTGGGAGGGGTATAAATGAGACTGGGAAAAGTTTCTGTTGTGTCGGGGCTACCCGTCATCCAGGATGGGGACCGTATGATCCTCAGTCCTCCTGGTTGGAGACACTGCAAGACATGGCTGGTAACTGACGTCAATTGCGAAGTTTTTGTCAGTTTCTATCCAGATAGATCGCCTTAATGAGTACCTGGAGGTGTAGGCACACTGATGTCATGCTGTCGACGACGACGACGACGACGCCGATGATGATCAAGGAGCACACAGATCCCCGAAACACCGGATAATTGAGAGTTTAAAGAATGACAGGGAATCCTGGTAAACTGCGAAGACTCAGGAAATGGAGATTTCCGACACAGGTAACAGCCGAGCCGACTCTATTAACAATCCAAAAGAAGATAAGTGTCATTACAACAATATGCGCCCCGACAGACAAAAGTTCTGAGAGTGAGAAGGGCGGTTTTTATCGAGATTTCTCGTGACTGTATCGGTTGGCAATGGCGAATATAGTGATCATGGCGGGTGATATGAATGTCCATATTAGACGACTAGGCCTGGAAGAAGTAGAGTTAGGCGACAGACTTGGATTAAATGCTCATTGTACGGATAATGGGGTGCGACTGTCCCAGCTGTGTGCGGATCATCGCCTGTTGCTCCCAGCACAAGCGCTCACATCGAGTTATTTGGAAGTCATCAACCGCAAGACGGTCATGGGCTCAATTGGACCGTGTGGCTTCCAGTTACCGATGGAGAACCTTAATTAAAGACTGCCGTTCCACCTAGGATACGCAACTTGATTCTGATCATGCCATTGTGCGGGCCCGTGTCAGGACGCACCCAGACATGGAAAAAGTACATGTGCATAGAGTGACGCACCCCCAAGGTCACCATCGGTACGACACGTCCGGAAAACAGGTGCGTTGGTGGAGCTCACCAAACACGGCTTAGAAACATAAGACCAGTAGAGTGTGGCTGAAATTGTTCACGACCGGAACCCCGCCATTGGTTGTACAGAGCGAGCAAGTGAACGACCATATTTGGCCATTTAGTCATCCTATGTATTTACGCAAAAGCTCTGTATGTTTTGTTCTGACAACACAGCCGTGTCCCGAGTTCTCTGTCTTCCCCTTATCGCGTAGTCTGGCGGGCTCAATGCAGGCTTAACAAATAGACGGCCACCCAAGATAAAACAGCCCGGTTATCGCTTCGATTTCCGTCAGCATTAAGCGTGCCAAATCAGAAGAACTCTATTCATCAACTTCGACGGGTTTCAGTAGCTCAAGAGTGTCGAGCGGAACTGAGTGGAAAACTACTGGAAACGCACAATCATTCGGATGACGAGAGTTGCTTAGAGGTTCAATAGAAGCAGGTTAAAGAAGCTATACTGTCAGGCTTCAGAACCGCCTGTCCAAGCCACCCGACTCAGTAAAATGAACAGTGGAGATCGTCGAGATCAGCAGATCTCATTGCTGCCAGAAAGACCATACCAGCAACTAGCGACCGGATAATCAAGAGCTTGAAGAGTGACAGAATCCTGGTGAATTGCGAAGGCCCAGGAAGTGAGGGTTTTCATTGCAAGCAAAAGCCGTGCCCTGTTTCAGCTGATTCTACCCACCAGCCAAGAGAAGACAAACGTCATTAGAACAATACACGAAAAAGACGGAACGGCTATTCGCAAGCAAAATCGTCGTCTTGAACGACGGGCTGGACACTTCAAAGAACGGTCCTACTGGTCTCCTTTACCACGACCTCTGGAAGAATCCAGCGGGTTTGAACGGAATATCGACACCAACCCGCCTTCAATAATAGAAACGCAGCCCGAGTAATCACCCCTTCAACGCGACGAGGCACCTGGCCCGGATGATCCCAGCACTCTTCAAAGGTGGTGAGGTCCTGATGAGAAGTCTGGTGGTCACTCTTCGGACGATTTGGAATGAAAACAGGATACCAATGGAATGGATCTCCTCAGCCAAAAAGGGTGCAAGAGCGTCAGATGAGGTCGTCATGACATCAGCGTTATAGCCATGGCACTCGAGATGCTCTCCGGTATTATTTTGCGCAGGTTGTTCGAACATCGGGAGAGATAGATTCGTAAGAACCAAGCTGGGTTTCGCCCTGGCCGATGATGCTGCCCTTTCTCGTCTTTCTTCCTCAACTTCGCTACTGATGTGCTGCCTGAAATTTCTCTGCATGTACCTGAAATCTCGGGAGTCGAAATGCCCGCGCAATGTTCGCCCACAGACATTGAGCATGTAGACGATATTGCTTTCCTAGGTTCTGTTGCTTAAGAAATGCGGATCATTTTAAATAGCCGAAATAACTCTGCCGCACTGTCTGGAACGCGCTTCACATTTGAAAAGAGTAAAGTGAAGCTACAGGACGGTGAGGTCAAACCCAAACCAGATAAACCAGTCGATGTTGTAGATAAATTTGCTTGCCCGGGCAGTTTTCTAAGTTCCATTGGAGTGGCTGGACATGAGATTACTTCTCGATTCAGAAACGCTAGGGCAGCTTTCGCCTACCTCCGACACCTATAGCGCCAACGTGACATCCGTTTGTCTGTCAAGGGCAGACTTTGCACAACGACGGTGAGATCAGTAATACTATATGGATCCGTAACGTGGTATCTGCGCGCATGAGGTACACGAAAGGTGTCAGTGTTTGACCATCAGTGTCTCCGAAGTATCGGTTGGGTGTGATGGGAACATCTGCTTAGCAAGGCTGAGGCACGCCAGATGGTCGTATTAAGCAGCTCTTCCACGGTAGATGAATCAGTGTCTCGAAGTATCGGTTGGGTGTGATGGGAACATCTGCTTAGCAAGGCTGAGGCACGCCAGATGGTCGTATTAAGCAGCTCTTCCACGGTAGATGAATTACTCATACGGTACGAGTAAGTTATACTGCCTAGGTTATGTACTGCGCATGCCAGAAAACCGCCTACCTCACATGGCTCTTTTCTCCCAAGCCCGTGCTGAGTGGAAACGACTAAGAGGTGGACACTGTATGAAAACACTAACCCGTTAACTCAGTCGAGTCGACAACTACCGCCTCCCGGGATGGGGACCCTGGGACTCAACTCATTAATG